CTGCAAGTTTGCATTGCTTTACCATTTATTTTTCAACCTTAACAGTTTTTACAATAAAAGTTTTTCAAGGACACTTTGCAAGTGCCCCACTTGATGACTTTATGGTGCCTGAAGTCTGCTGGTTTTTATGGCCAAGTTCGTTTGGATGCAGTCAGCGGTAGGACAATAGGTGTCACGCGCTGCTGGTTGAGTGTGGTGCCCTATCCAGCTCTACATGTACCTTACTCCCTCAAAGTTGAAAAATTAACTGACGAAGCATCTGTGGACAAAAGTTATGTGGTCTCACGCAGTGGTGGTGACAAAAAAGGCAGCAGTCCATGGGAGGATTTTGCACGTAGTCAGTTAATTTGATGGGATATAGGTTATTTGATAAGAGAGTCAGATACTCTCTGTCAGTTGGATTCTGGGCCCGAGCCATAGCCCATTGGATCCCTGCAGCATCTCTCAGTTAAGCTTGTTCAACGTTGTTACAAGCAGTATCTGTCACACCCAGTGCTGGGAAACCATTTGGTATCATGTTAAAACAAACAGACTTGGAACCTCTTGATGCGGATTGCACTATACCTCCACATCTTGTGCCAAGTGAAGATGGAATGAAGGTAAGGATGAATGTGGAAAACTGGATTCACCTGTTGGTTTCTTGTGCACAGTGATGCATTTAAAATGAATTATTGAATGATATACACGAACAATTAAATATCCCAGTACGTCTCTGCTCAGTTTTGTAGCTCACCAAAATGTTGTATTCACTGAGACAGTAATGGTTACATACATGTACATGTAATAAGATGTACAAAGAATTCAGCGAGTGCTTGTAACAAGCTTGCTTTGTGTTCTCATCCAGCTGAAGAAAGACCAAGAATACGTGCGATTCACAATAGTGGGCCTCCAAGAGTTTGCAACGCGTTGGCCAATCACAACACGTAAAATTTGTCGACCCTTTCCAAATGTGCACTGGCTCGACAGATTTCGGGCAGTGTGATTGGCCAATGCATTGCAAACACTTGGTGGCGCACTATCGTGAAACGGCCATATTTGGCCAAAGCTCTATTTTCCGTCAGATGTAATAAAATACTTCAACTCAAAAATAGTTTTGGTTTGTAGTCTTATGAAATAATCAAAAGTAGTCCAAACTTGAATTTTTGCAACAAGGCAGAAACTGATACTTCACATTGCTGCATTTTTATTCTCTGAAGGAAATTAGTATCAAGTATGCTTCTGTTATGTTGTACAGAATTCGTTTCAAAGAACAAAAATGGAGGGGATAGTCTGTGGTTCATTCATTATAAGACATCCCATCAATCATTCTTTTGTGCGTGTATTTGAGGATTTCTAGGTAGACCTGCTGTTTTTTTCCCCTGCAGGATGCGGTTTTGCTTTGTGGTTATGTTTTACATAACTCTGCAACTTTGCTTTGACAAAGGAGCTCCCCCACCCAGAACTCTGAACTGTACAATTAACCAAACCTTGCAGCAAACTTGAAGAGGATAAGGGCATGTCTGTTCATTCACATAAGGCATGGAGCCACTGTAAACCGCCTTAATAATCCAGATGGGAACCAGGCAGATTTGGATAATCAGACAGAATCTACTCTTGATGCTGGATGAGGGTGGGGGGTAGGAGCTGGGTACATATCAGGGATAGATTGTAGCCAGTAGGGGTAACTCCATTCTCAGGCCCATTGTTTCTGTTACAGTGATCCAGAAAGATGGACAGCCTGATAAAAAGAATGATACTAAATTGCTGATGGCAACGTGATAGATCTCAGCTACTGATCCAAACCTCAGGGATTCTATGGTCTGTAAGAAAAATCTGTAGTCTGCCATAGACCTTCTTCTCCTCAGAGTTTGATTTTCAGATAAACTGTCATATGCCATAGGACAGGGATTACTTGTGTTTCCCCGGATTTTTTCCTACTTCTTGTTTTGATTATTTACATATAGAAGTGTGTTACATCAGCTTAACCCTGTTTCTATGAGTCATGTTTGAAAACTTGCATTTAAAACTTAAACAGTGTTGCGTGGTGAAGCACATGTGACATGCATTTAATGATAATCACATCACTGATTTTAAGTCTCCAGAAGACAAACCTTGGCAGCATCAACATTTTCCCAAGTTTATAAGAAAGATGTATTTATCGCAAAGTAAATGATTTCAGCCACACAGTGAATCCAGGGATGTAATTTTTCCATTTTTTCCTGATTTTTGACCTGAGCATCTGGATTTGAGTTCTGCTACTGTTTGGCCTTTTTACGTGTCCCACAAAGCAACCTCAAGATACAATAACCAGCTAACTTTTGACAAGACTTAGTATTTTAATGTTGACATTACTTACTGCATCCCATAATTGGCTCATTAGGTGGATCACCGAATATATATGTGCATGGATTTCTCATCTTGTGTGCACTGGACTGTTACGGTCACTAGGATTGCTTTCCCCATTGTGGTCTGCATCACTGGACATTTCACCAATCTGCATATGCATTTATTGTGGCCTTGTCATCAGGGTCTCTAGTGAAGAATTACTATTATGAGGTAATCAGTCCAGAGCCCTTTTCACACCACAGACTGCTAATCCAGGGAATCTGCGCCCCAGGTTGAAAATCAATTCCCTGGGTTAGTGTTAACCTGGAGGAACATTTCACACTTGCCCTGTAAACCGGAGATTCTGGTAATTAGCCCTGGGCGGCGCTAACCCAGGGCAACTGTCAACCCTTTCACACTACAGAAATCTAACCCAGAGAAATCGGGGAGGCCTTGATTATTAATGATACAATGTGACCCAGGTTTGATCAACGCATGCGAAATGTGGTTTGATAGCAGCAGGTTCCCTGATCTAGCCGAAATCAGAGGCACATACTGCACCAATGAGGCAGCGTACCAGTGTAACATTCGTACTGGCGCATGCACCGTTGTTTTGCTTCACCTTTGACCTTACAAGATAGTTCCAGGTCGTCATGCAAAATTCTCCAAGCAACTCACCCCAGCAGTTCGCTAGCCCTGAGTGTTTTCTCACTTGCAAAGATAACCCGGGGTATATCTCAAGGTCGCTGTTAACCCTGAGATCGGTGAGTTAACCCTGCTCATGAGCAGGGTTAGAAATTCTCTGGGTTAAGGGCACTTAACCGGGAGCAAAAAAAGTGTAGTGTGAACACAACTGTTAACCCGGGGAATCTCGGGAGGGAGGGAGGTTATTTTTTGCTAACCCCCCGAGATTCCCCGGGTTAACTTATAGTGTGAAATGGGCTCACAGTCAGCATCTCTGGTTCCAGTAACACAGTGCACAAGTAAGCCTACTATGTGCTCCAATTTGGTATGTGTGTCTGTGACTTCTTTCAAAAAGCAAGTTTGGGGTTGTCTATAGTCACTTTTTATTTGGCCTCGGATAAAAACATGACTTCTTCCCTGTTCAGTGACATTTGCGAGCCAGACAGGGGGGTGGGCTAATCTTTGGTGGAAGAACTTTTGACGCCCAGGGGAACACCATAATTTTGAAATGGCAACTTCGCTTTGCCAATCAAGTGTGTCCAAAATTTATTAAAAATGAATGGGAATTTGTTGAAGCTCAACAAATTGGAATGAAAGAAGCCTTCAAAGAAATTGCTGACTCCATGCAGTCATTCTATTCTTTGCCAGTTTATTGTTAGACTAACAATGAAAGTAAAAAGGGCGAAATGTAATGAAATTTTTATGGAAATGAATTCCCTGTGTCCTATGCGATGAAAGGCTTTAATTTACAGAGTAGTTTTGATATTATGCCTACCTATAGACTTTTACATTTTTTGGAGAATTTGTCTGGAAAATCATTCTTTTGGCTTTGAAGGGATAGGTAAAATGGTGGCATTTGGGGTTTCTCTTTAATATATATATTCTAACATGGGGAAATTGTTTGACAACCAGCCTGTACAGTTTAATTAGAATTCAGGGACCCTCCCAAAAGTGTATGAAAATGAAGTTTTTTAAATCAGCGCCTCCTCTCTCTTGAATCTTTTAAACAGGTGTACTAACAAACGATTTCATACATAGCACTGTATGAGAATACCTTACATGTCTCTGCATTCTTACTTTGCAGCCACCCTTTAGCGTTAAACATTCTCCACGGAAAGAAGGTTATCCAAAATAAGCGATTGCAGGTCTTCTGGAAAGGTTAATTGTGTATCGAAAACTGTTGTGCATCATTTGCGACAGGCTTGACACGAAACGTAACTGATGAGAAAATATACGTGGATATTAATAGCAAACAATCAGTGCGCTGTTTTATGTCATGACCAGAAAGTCATTAATGTGCACCAGACATTTTAGCACTTGCTGGGGTTGGGTTACCAGGCTCTATCCCTGGTTTCCATCAGATTCCAGTGTTGCTGAATTGTGTCAATCATTAGTCTTGGCTTTACTTGTATGATTTCACAAGAAGGTGTTGTAATCGACATACATGTCTGGACAGCTCCTTGCATGCAAATGAGTACCAGAGGGATTAGTACAGGGCTTGTGAGTAGAAGTTCCTAAGTACATGTACATGTACATGTGATTGTGTCAATGTTGCAATGTTAGGGATGTTTTGGGTTCTGTTTTCATCCTTGGTTTTGTTCCCAGTGTCAGAGTGAATAAAGTAATTTGTAAGTTAGAGCTTTGGGAGTTGAAATAATTATTAAATGTGCACATACTGTGCATAGTTTGTATTGCTAAAAGTCACAACCACGGAAACGGTCATCAGGGTCGATCACGTGGACCCCATTGCTTTGGGCATGGGGGCTGTTCAGCAGACCAGACTGTTTATCTGCTGTTTGTAAATCTTATTAAAATATTTATTGACATAGCCCATATTGTCTTTCAGCTGATCTTTTATCAGATGTTTTAGCCCATGCAGTAGTTAAAGAAGTCACCAATGATAGCTATTATGCCCTTGCTATTGTTGCACAGCATGCTTGCATTTGATAAAAAAAGGAGGTATTGGCATTGAGTGTCATTTACAGTTCGTTCCTTTTTCTTGTCATAAACAGACTAGTTATGGGGCATCAGCCAATGGTAAAGGCACAGTTTCTGAGATGTCAGTCGCGGGAAGACCAGCCATTCCTCAGAACCTTCCCCAGAGCCTGAGTTACCTGCAACACCACCAACAGATGCAGCAACAGCAACAGCTTATGCAACAACAGCAGATGATGCAGCATCAACACCAACAGCAACAACACCACTTGCAGCAGCAACAACAGCAGCAGCAAGCCGACAGGTTAGCTGCTGCGACTGCAGGAATGAGGCCACCGTTTAATCCGGCTGTGCTGCGGTCTGGTACTGGACCCCCAATGCCTGTAGGAGCAAACATTGCTGGAACCTCGGCTGCTGCCTCCTTCTTTGCCAGGTGAGTTCTTGAAATGATTGTTTTTTTGGTGATTTGTGAGTGTCAAACATTTAAATACTAAAAATGGTACAAAAAAGACCAAAAAACACCTTTTCACACTTGTACATGCTTTAACAATTTGTCTGCAAGCTTCAGGCCCCTACTGATTTAAAGTTTCTGAGTTACTAAAACCTTCATTGTGAAAGTTTCTTTACATGCGATAAATATATATGCGTACATTATTTATTTCTTTATTTTTAAACCCTTAAGGCTTGCGTGGAATTCCCCATTAGTTTTACATTTTTTAACAACAGTAGCTCATTTTCATATGCAGTGGTAACAGGATACAAGTTGTGCATGTGTTTTAGTGTGTGTTCAGTGACAGTGCTCATAAGACCACTGACATAGTATTAGTATTGGATTGTAAGTCTAGCCTGTCCACTTCCTGTTTCGGAAGTTCAAAAGTGAGCACGTTTTCACATTAATGATTTCAACCCCACTGGTACACTGACAATCAGCTTCTTTCCTCTCCTGCATGTGTATTTGATGTGCATCACTGCTGACATTTAAGGGCGGGCATAACAAAAATAATCTGTGCAGCTAGCATTTCCATCTGGTGCGGTGGGGTTGGTAATCTGCCCGGACTTAGCTGTGACATCCTGGTCGTAATTACACAAATCTGAGCTCGCTTGCTGCCCTATACCTAGAAGATTCTCATGGTAAATCCAGACCTTGAGCCTGTAGGCCAATTGCCATCTTGCCTTGATCACTTAGCCAGCCGTCTGGCAAAGTTTGCATAATGTTGAAGGCTTGAAGCCTTTACATTAGTGTGACCACTATGGTGTGACCGTGTACCACCTAAGCGTTTTTGTGTGCAAGGTTTAGACAGTTTGAAGTCCAGTTTCTCTTGCTAGTATGCATGATCTGTGTTGTGTACTAACTTTTTCAAATGAACATCAATACATGACTGACACAGTGGCAAACTTGATATAAATTATTAATGAGAGTGAAAAATGGGCTTGAGTTTTCTTTAATTTCTTAATGGATTACAAGCGCTTAAACTTTGATAACTCTCACATCTACTCCCCTCCCACTTCCACCGCCAGTGAAGTTATAAGGTTGTTCTTATTCTTTCATTTTAAATATGGGGTATATTCAAAGTCTTTGTTCTTTATAAACTTCAAATAAAGTAATCATACATTACCTACTTCATCATCAACTGTATTAATTTTTGAAGTCTTTTAAAATAATAGTAAACCTTTTGTTCTCAGTTAAAACTGTAAAGGAATGGCAAAATTTTGTTCAAGTTTTGGACGGTCTTTTACCGTCTTTTACAGAGTGACTCAAAAAAGGCAAAATGAAACAAAAAAATTATACACAACTACCGAATGATCCCTTTAAGAAACTGCAAGAGGCCACCTTTTAGTGCTTGGACTCTGTCATGAATTCTGACAGCCTTTCGGGTGGTCTTGTTTGGATTGAAGCTCAGGAGACAGGAAGTCACCTCTGACAGGTATATGCATGGTGCCCAGGCTAAGTTCAAATCGCAGGCCAACCCTTCTTTCTCTTTCTTTTTTTTTTATTCATAACTCTGTGAGGTGCCACATCTCCAGGATTGGATTTCCCTCACCAGGGGACCCGGTACCTTTTCCTTTGCAGGTGTAAAACTGACCTAAATAGCACAGGTTAATTGCCTAGGTACAGCCAACACCAGGAGACAAATCAAACACTACTGGAATGATGAACGGTAGTATTCTGGTCACGGGCAGTTGTGGCTTGACTCTCTTACTTCATTTTAGGTTGTGTATTTATTGGCTTGTTCAAGCAAGAGAGACTTCACCTTTCAGCTCATTTTCCCCCCTTTCTTTGTTTTCCTCTGTTGGGACATTTCAAATCCCCTAGTGTTTGACCACAGTGCCCAGTTTTTCAGTTCCAGAAGCACACAGCCATATGTTGGTCTCACAGGAAATGACCTCAGCGGTTAGCCTGGTTTACTGAGGTGCTAAAATAACTGTGTGTGTCCACATACCTGGACTGTAATCACCATTAAAGTTCATGGCTGTTTTTATGATGACAAGTGTTAAACACAGCAAACCATTTGGCAGTGGGAACTGCAGTGGTTAAATGCGTTTTTGTGAACAAAATTTTAAACAGCAAATCCTAAATGTACAAAAAACATTTTTAGATGACAAAACCAAAATTATGTATTAAGAGGCATCTTTATTTCTCAAACTAGACATTAGCAGGGAATAATTGGATTGAGGGGGGGTGTAAAACCAAACATTTTCCTCGTGGATTACTCAGGCTGCTATTTGTTCAAACCGTTTATTAAACCTTCACCTGAGGGAGAGCTGAATTATCATTTGTAGGGACTTGAGTGTGGCCAAAAATTTGTTACAGATTAAGCTTTTTTGTCACGTTTCTTGGATTCCATACCTCTGCTTTGGCTCATGTTCAAGAGTTGTTATAGTAAGCGGCAATCCATTGCAAAAGTGGAAACTGATTACCTTGCTACTGACTTCATTTGTAATTTTTAAACAAAACATTTTTCCAAAAATGAAAGTGTAAGTAATGTCTAATAACATTTCCTTTTATTTCCATTTTCATTTTTTGTAGAAATTCATTTTGTCAGTAAATTAGGAGTTAGAAAAGCCAGTAACCATGTAATGAGTTCCCACTTCAGCATGGATTCACCCTAAGGTTGGGACTACACAGGAGTGGCAATACAAATGTAGACATCAACTGGATAAGGACTTTTTCTGGACATGTAACTTGTGTTAATGGTAAACCCTAATAAGTCAGCTGGGATTTACTTTCACTCCAGTTCAACTTGGAATTCCTTTGACTAATCCAGCCTTGGATCATCATCTCTAATCCTACCATCCTATCAGACTGGAGCAGGAGGAGCTCTTAAGGCTTATATCACATCTGTTTTAGGCAGCCTGGTATATGTTGCACCATTGGGAGACCCACCGACCTGCTTCTTAGATGTTGGGAGCAGTGTAGACTGGGCATTTACCCAGAGAAGCTGACAAAGAGGCTACAAATACACTATTGATATAAGCAAGGGAAACAAAGGGGACATTGGTCGCATCAACAGGTCTACCATACCAGCCTTCATGCCTGCTTTCCTCCATGGTATGTTGGTCTGAAAGACTTGAATGGAAGTCCCCTAAGTCCCAAAGATGAAAGGTACGCCGACACCTTCATCAAGGATTCCTTTTGTTGGTCCCTATGCCTGGTAGTGTCGGACACTAGCCCGATTGTGTGGCTTCTTTTTTGCAAAGCTTTTTTTGACACTTGAGAGAGACTCAGAATGAGGAATTCAAAGAGAATAAGGAGTGGGGGTTTCTACATTTTACCTTGTGATGGAGGGGAAAATTTGTAAGTTGTAATTAGAGTTGTGAACTGTCAGCTTGTTTATCCTGAATTTGAAGGATTTGTGCAAACAACATAATCATATTTATTTAAGACAAAAGCAAGGAGTAATCAACTTGATCATTTGTTTATTTGTGTTAATCCTTTTGTGCATCTCCTTTAAAAATGTCTGTTTGTTTTGCTCTGTTTGATTTTCATATTCAAATTGCTTGTTTGCATTTGTGATATGCCCCAGGCCATTATTAAAACTGCCTGCTTAAAGCTTCGCTTAATCATCCATTCTTAAGTCACCAAACTTTAAAAAAATCTGCAAGAAACTACAAAGAGCCTGTCCTGTCTGCTGAGGGGTCCTTGTTGTCTTCTTTCCCTCCTCAGGGGTCAAGTGGGGTCGTGCCCCATGAGTGGGTACTGATTGATGTGATGAGTTGTGAGAACTTTTGAATATTTAGAACCGGAAGTTGGACACCTACAGCATCATTGATCACACCGTGATTAAGATGTTCAGTTCCAACAAAGTCACATTTAAACAAGAAATTATGATTAATTATTTTGTTGTATACTGGTTCCAAATTTAAGATTCATTGTTCGTGGTTCAGGCACAGGCTTCTTGAGATGGACTTTATATTCAAAGGCTTGCATCAGCTTGTATTGAGAGACTAAATGCGTTTGTATGTACTACAGTGTACATGTACATGTATGCTTGCAGTGCATGGGTGGATAATCTGATTTGTCTCCAGCTAGGTAAAAAATGTGCTAAGTGTGGGAGCGTATGTGGCTGTGGACACTTTCCTGAGTCAGGTATCATCATGAGGATGGGAGTTTGATTTGGTTTGACCCAGCTGATGAACATTTGTGAACCATCACAGCTGTTACAGTTCTTGGTCAGAGGTACATGTGGCTATGTGAGCAAGACTCACTGGTGATCTCTGCTTACCATAAACTCCAGAGAAACTTTTGGTGACACTTAGAGAACAGAAAACAACTCTGCTGCAGATGTCCGGCTCCTCCGTGGTTTTACAGGGATGCTTCACCTGGTTTTGGTTGGATTAAACGTTTTTGACAGGATGCGCTGTTGAGAGTGCCTTTCATTGCCCAGAACAAATATTGTTGATAACCAATTTTGAACTACTGGGAGGCCTGCCTCAGCTACATGTATCCAAATTGCATTGCCAGGCTTTGAAAACAGCTGCTAGGGGAGTTTGTGCTGGGCTGCAGGGTCAATTTCCCGCTCGTTTGCACTCCAAAGCAGCTTGAATGCCAGATGACTAGAGGTTTGTGTCTCTTGACCAGCGGCCACACTCCATGGTCCTAGATCAGACATTCGCCTTCATCAATCCTGTGCAAGACCAGAGGGGTTGTATTGGTGGTGCACAGCCCACAGAATAGTCGGCCTATCACCAACACTCCAGGCCCTCTGCCGTTTGATTGGCATAACACCGAAACTAGGCCATGCAAACAGATTTTTTTCTTGGGCAAATTGGACTAAATTAAGCAGTCAATCAGTTTAGCGTTGATTTTATGCTGCCGGCATTTATTTGGAGTGGGTTGGGACAGTGGGTTGCTACATGGAGGAAAATCAAGTTATTGGAGATGCTGCAGTACTGCCCTGTTTGTGACAGGAGGAGAGAAAAGCACTAGTTCCC